GGGGGGGGCACCCCTACAGGTGCACACCCCCCCCCTCAGGGGGGGGGCCCTCCAAAAAAAATAATCCCCCCCCCAAAGGGGGGGGGAATACCGACCCGAAATTCTCTGAAAACGGAGAAATTCCCTCAAAACTTCAGAAGAGGAGAGGGGACAGGGGACAGGGGACGGGTCCCCGGGGTGTCCCATGGGTGCCCCCGTGTCCCACCACACCCCGATGTCCCAGGGGTGTCCCATGGGTGTCCCCGATGTCCCGGGGGTGTCCCTGATGTCCCGGGGGTGTCCCAGGGGTGCCCCCGTGTCCCATGGGGTGTCCCATGGGTGCCCCCGTGTCCCACCACGCCCCGATGTCCCATGGGTGTCCCGGGGGTGTCCCATGGGTGTCCCCGATGTCCCGGTGGTGTCCCGGGGGTGTCCCGGGGGTGTCCCATGGGTGCCCCCGTGTCCCACCACGCCCCGATGTCCCCTCCAGGCCGGAGCTGACCCCGGAGCCGCCGCGAGGTTCCCGAGCGAGGCCGAGGATTCCTGGGACCGGGACCAGGACCGGGACCCCACCGAGGTCAGTGGGGCCTCTCCGGCCACTCCGGCCGCTCCGGCCACTCCGGCCGCTCCGGCCTGGCCGCAGCCACGGCGCCAAACCCGCGTCCACCCCTCCCCTGACCCCAAACCGTGTCCACCCCTGCCCTGACCCCAAACCGTGTCCATCCCTGCCCCGACCCCAAACCGTGTCCACCCCTCCCCTGACCCCAAACCGTGTCCACCCCTGCCCCGACCCCAAACCGTGTCCATCCCTGCCCTGACCCCTGACCCCGTCCATCCCTCCCCATGACCCCAGCCCCGTGTCCATCCGTCCCCTGACCCCACACCGTGTCCATCCCTGCCCCGACCCCAAACCGTGTCCATCTGTCCCCCGACCCCAAACCGTGTCCATCCCTGCCCCGACCCCAAACCGTGTCCATCCCTCCCCATGACCCCAAACCGTGTCCATCCGTCCCCATGACCCCAAACCGTGTCCATCCGTCCCCTGACCCCAAACCGTGTCCATCCGTCCCCTGACCCCAAACCATGTCCACCCCTGTCCTGACCCCTGACCCCGTCCATCCCTCCCCATGACCCCAGCCCCGTGTCCACCCTCACGCTGACCCCTGACCCCATCCAGCCCCATGCTGACCCCGACCCCTGACCCCTGACCCCGCCCGGCCCCG